GTCAACTTCATGTAAACTTGTTCATGACAGTTATTTATAATCAGCCTTGTATATTCTTCCTTTTTTCTCACCCTGACAACTGGTTATTCCACAAAGTGAAACAAATTCTACCAGATATCTATCTCGGCAGTATTATATAGCACATTATTATAAACAAGTAGTAAGAGTTTAAAGTAAATCTTGTTATGTCTCTTTGAAAAAATCTGTTGTAGCGTCACACACTTCCCCAAAATCAATAGCCTAGGGTTTGACGACTTTCGACATTGATGCTGACCTTGATAGTTTAACTGGACTCGCTAAGCTGTAGGCACCCGGTCAAGCATCCTCGCCATTTGGCACGCTGTCGTGTTACGTTGCACTGCTCGTATTCGACTGTCTAGCCAGTTAGTTGGAACGCATCGGTATCTTGGTACAACCACCCAAATATACTATTCCATTCAACTAGGCTATCGTGTTCTTCCTTGGTCTCGTATTCCTGGGTATATAACAAGTCAGAATAATTAGTGATTGGTCACTGCGTCTGTGAAGTTCGCACCAGGACAAATCCTAAAGTCTAGATAATATTCATTATAGGTTATTCATATTCAATTATAAATTATTCTCTTTCAAATGTCTTACATAATATATATAATAAGAAAAATGCTCTCATATCAATTATTCTTTCATACAACATACAACTTGCTGGTCAAAGTTTTGCTAATGTATACACCCCATTTCAAATAGTAGAATTTCATAGAAAACCATGTGATGTATTCACCTATGTTATCTACTATAGAATTGATGAATTTTAAGAAAATAAAACTTGAAGACTATTCAGTTAGCTAAATCAAGTATCTCTTACTTCTATTATATTACCAAGGTCAATCAATAAATCGATTTAGAAAAATATTTTTACAACGGTAAACCAACAAACAAAACATCTTAAATGAAATGAATAAATCAAGGTAATGAGATAAGAGTAAGAAAACGGAATATCTTGTGATTATACAATCCATATTGGATGATTTACTGAATATATATGACCATGTAGACAAGAAATGCAATACTACTATCAAGAGGAATTTATAGCCACCAGGATTAATATTTGAATGGATAGAGGTGAACAATATGGAAACTGCTTCATTACTACGGAGTACCGCAAACCTCTATCCGTCTCATTCAACAACTATATGAAGACGCCACATGCCAACCAAGTAATTCACAATGGGAAGCTCAGCTCAGTGATGCTTTTCAAGTGAAGACAGGAAGGAGTGAAACAAGACTGTCTTCTATCCCCCATGATATTCCTGATTGTGGTGGACTGGATCATGCAGTAAGCAGTGGGGAGCGAGAAGAGGGGGATACGCTGGCTGAACCGCGGAAAAGAACCTAGAAGATCTGGATTTCGCCGATGACTTGTGCCTTATGTCACACAAACCTGAAGATCTACAGGCGAAAACTAACAAGTTGATAGAAGAGGCAGGGCAGCGAAGACGGGACTTCAAGTGAATATAGAGAAGACAGAGGTGATGAAGATACCGCACCAACATCTCCAACAACAACAAACTCCAATCAGCATCAATGGGAGAAACTTAAAGGAAGGAACCTCCTTCACCTATCTAGGCAGCACTGTTTCAACTAGAGGTGGCAGCACAGACGAGGATGTCAAAGTCAGAATAGGAGAAGCAAGAGGGGCGTTCTTTAGCCTGAAACCAGTGTGGAGATCTTCTGCACTCAGCATGCGGAACAAGATGTGGATTTTCAACACCAACGTCAAGTCAGTGCTCCTGTATGGTTCAGAGACTTGGTGCGTTACGAAAGGGATTTCCAATAAACTACAGACATTCATCAACAACTGCCACCTACGCTGGCTCGCTACTGAAGATCAGATGGATTGCCAGAATAATATGAATAGGCAACAAGAAGCTCTGGCTGATGGCGAACCAACCAAGAACCTATCACCCAACAAATATGCACTGGAAGGAATTGGAGATGGATTAGATTGGATTGGGCATACAGTGAGAAGGCTGACTGGGGACATCAAGCACTAAGCAAGGCACTCGAGTGGAACCCAGACGGAAAGCGACGAGTTGGGCGTCCGAGGTGAGGGTGACATGGAGGAGATCATGCGAGGAGGAAATGAGAGGTTGTGGGCAGTCGTGGAACCAGGTTCATATGATTTCAGAGAGCAGAGTGCATTGGAGATGTGCTACTGAAGCCCTATGTTCCATTAGGAACCCAACGGACCAATATAATAATAATAATAATAATAATAATAATAATAATAATAATAATAATAATAATAATATGGAAGATTGTATAAATGGATTATAAATGAAATTGATGTGTGTGAAATCATCCTGAGAGTATTCAAATTTTGTTTAAACTCAGCAATTTTCACGTTTACAGGAGTGTTATATAAGTAAATCAACCGGATCTACGGTTTCTCCCCATCGTTGCAAATCTCTCCGTGTCTCATACTGAATACCTCATCATGCCTATCAACTAACTCCATCAAACCACATATTTGCCTCATAGATGTGCATGATATACTTGTAATTTTATAAAGACCAACCCTCAAATCTTTTTCTGAATTAATTAATACTCATTGAAGGTATCTTTCTCACCCTTAATGTCTCACAACCCCATTGTACTTTTCATTGACGAAGTAAATAATTTCCCCACCCTATTTTTCTTCCATCTTACGCGAACAACCAAAAAACCTCTCTGACCGACTTGCTTATTCACTCACCTGTATTATATCCATCTTTCCTCCATATATTGACCATGTAATTGGATGATTGTAATCGTCACCACTCTCTGTACTGAAACTTGAACATTAACCTGAAAACCTAATGTCAGATTGATACTCTTGAAAAGGATCTTCCTAGCAAGATCGACACGTTGAGGAATAATACAAAATATTTGTTTATTTTCTCATTTGTTCTAATATATTACACCGGGATTACACAAGTTGAAATACACCTTATACAATGAATTAATAGTCATTCTTCATATATTAACCTTGCATATGAATATGAGAATATGAGAATACAAGTGGCAAACTACCATTTTTAGACTATTTACTTAAAAGGAATCGAAGTGGGAAGGAATCGAAGTTCATCTGTTCATCATTGAGCAACAAATTCACGTCGATATCTTGATTTCAACTCAGTGAATTTACTGAATGAAAACTTCAACTTGCTTGAAACGTAGTCAGGAGGGCTGTATGCCTCATCACAAATGAAGAAGATAGATAAACGAAAGTAAGAAGTTTAACAGATATGTTAACTTCCCTTAACTACTCTGAAAATTTCATTCGAAAGATAAAATAACTGTGAGTAGAAGAATCCAAGAGAAAAATCATATAATGAGTCTTTGACTAGTATCGTAATTCTAATATTCCACCTAGTTACAACTGGAGAGCTACAAAAGATATTTTTTATATACACCGAATTAAAGCAGTCTACAAGACAACTAGCATTCTAGTTCACTTAAAAGATGAAATTGTGTCTACCTTGAAAGAGAACAGTGACCACAGGTTAGGCTGTGTTCACTGTCATACTTATTATATTGGCAAATAATCACGCCATTTCCTCACTCATACTAAACAATATGTAAGCTGCACAAGACAACCTCGAAAAAGTCCTGCAACCTGGGAGATTTACACATTTAATCGTCGAGTGCTGTTCATCTCATTCATCATAGTTGTAATATTGACATTGAAAATAATAAAATTATTGAAAAATAATTTTCAAGCAACAAGGAAAGTTGGACAGCTGAAATATTTCAGATTATCACTTGATTATCTGAGATAACCGTAGTTTGGCAGACTACCAAAGGAATTCGTTACGCGTCACTACCACCTCATCGTATTCACACTGGCTGCTCAGCCGAGTCAGCACCTCTCATCCCAATCCAAATCTAACTGAATCAGAGTGTGGGGGAGGGAGCATCATACTGATTATTATTTGACTATGTGAGATAACCGTAGTTTGACAGACTAGTATTTTACATTATGTTCAATTTCAATACACTCCAAAGGAAAGAAGGTCTAGTTATCCAACTAACTTGGATTGAATATTCGAAATTACAAGTTATTTATAACTAATAACATTGGTATGATTATCGGTTGATTAATTTTCATAAGTCAACTGACAACTGATTCTGAAGGTGACACTTCACTTTCAGTCAGCAAGTTGCAAGTCCATATTTATAAATACAACACTAGATGTGAAGAAAAACTTATCTGACCTCCAATTGTATCCATTCACCTATCTGTTAATCGGATTGAGGAGAATCTTCACCGTCACCACAGATCTATAACATTCAAGTCTCTTAAATCCACCAACCCTTAGAACATTTTATCAGTTTCAAACTTGTTAAAGATAGTTTACACTGTTTAACCTACTTTTCTCATTGAATGAGAGAATAAATTTTCAATTATTAAACAAAGTGATCTGGTTTCAGCTATTAAATAAGTGAACAGGCGTAACTCGATGTTTATTTATTCTACCTGTGTAACTTTTTCTATCATGTTCAACTTATGTAATTCACAAATCATATAATGACCATTAAAAGTTGTGAAAAGAAGATTTCGAGAATGTGCATTGGTTTGAGCAAATATAAGGAAGTTAGTGACAAAATGCTCGTCCATTTATTCATCATTGTATTGTTCTAAAGCAACACACTGTACTGTAGTCGTCATGTTATTCAGCATTATATACACACAAGTGAACATTTGAGTGTAATTAGCATGTATAAGAAAAGAAACGCTTTACATGAGATTGCAACTTACAAGGAATGAATGTAAACTACCCAGTTTTGTTACCCTAATCACCTACAATTTAAAACAATGTCTTTCAATAATCAACTTATTTGTAACATATATTTCCAGTGAAAAATACTAATACTTTTTCAAAAATATCCGATTAGAATTTTCCAATTCCACTGGTTTGATGGTCTCTAAGCTTTCAGTGTGTTTCACTATAACATCTAGCAAAATCATCAAGATTGTCTGGATGACGAGGTGAGATGATTTCATAGAAGACATGAAAGAAGGTTACACAATGTTTTTGCTGGCCCCCTAAATCCTATCACATAGAAGATTGAGGCAACGATTTTCATCAGATTTTCACTTTCAAACTTTAAATTCCATTTTGAACTAAAGTTTTACCATCTCTGCTGACAATACTCTTGGTTATTAGTTTATTTGATAAACTATCTATCTATCTATCCATCTATCTGGTTAACGCCTGATTGTTTTCTTCCTGAGTATTCACATGATAGTAATTCATTTATCAGGTGTATCGCACAGTGAGATAGAGTCATTGATTTTATTGTTGATAACTATTATTTTATCAGCCAAGTTGAAGTCTTATTCTATTGCTAACTTGCATGTGAGGGAGTAGAGGGAAAGTTCTCGGATCGCAGTAGATACAGGGGAAGGAATACAAGTAGGAGAGAAGACAATACTGATTGAGAGACTAGTGATGGTAGTAATTAATATTGGAGTAAACTTAGTCATTTAAAACCAGAAGCGTGTTTCATCATATTTCCGTTAATACGGACGTTTCCATATGGAAACACTTTGTGACTAGATGCCCCTGTGAACTATGAGCCTCAGCTACTGATCACATCTTAACGTCACTTCCATCACCATTTGTTTTACCCTACTGCCATGTGAATTCGTGATGCGTCGCTTGACCATAATCATACTGGCTGCCCAGCCTGGACAACTCTTCTCATCCCAATCCCAATCCAAATGTTAACAGTAACAATAATAATGTTAATAACTGTGCTAATAACAGTAATACACAAGTGTCAGTTGATGAAGATCATCCACCACCAGGTTATGATGAAGCTATTGACTTAATACAAAACAGTTGTATGAACAATGTTAACATGGCGACGACGACAGCGACTTCGATGATGATGATAATGATAAACACAATGGCGAAACCAGCTGTTCCTATACTGAATACCACTTGTACACCACCACCACCACCACGAGCATTACCTCCACGTAGAATTATCAATGGAGTTGGATTAGAAGATATTGAAGGTGCATAGCCTATGGCATGTTTATTATTAGCTCAACGTTACTGTCTACCGGTAGCTGAGATCTAAAGGAATAAAGATACAAATCGTCAGTGTATTCAGCTGATAAACACCAGATCATCATTAATGCCTTGTTGGATGTAACAGTGATGTTTATGTTGTTGATTGATTGTCTTCACCTTTAGTATTTCATCTGCTTATTCATAATTAGTGTTCATTGTTGTTGCTGTCGTGTATGTGTGGTGGCGTGCATGTTTGCTTTCCTGATATTTCCTCTCATTGCTTACTAATATATTTTATTCATTGCTTTGCTTGTGTAGTCATTTTATTTGTTGTACGCTTTAGCTAATTTCATCATATATTATCATATTTAATTATTCTACAAAAACACTACCTACTACTTCTAGTACTATACTACTTACTATACTACTGAATACTTTTACTTACATGCTTACTTATTGGTAATGCTGACAATTCATCTTCACACCATGATTGACAAGCAATATGAGATATCAGCATTTTACTATCTTCGGCCTTAATCAATAACTCCTATATGAATTCATGTATTTGAACTGTGTTACTTACATCTATCCTTTGATTTTGTCAGTTTATTTACAATTAAAACTTCTCTTATTTCACTTCTCTTCAATTCATTGTTTTACATGATTCCTGTTAGTCTCTTGTTTATATTGGATCTCTGTCTCGTCCCCTCACCTCTAAAACTACTTCGTGTGCATTTAATCTACGCGTTGTTTTCCCTTGCACCGAGTTCTCAGATCCTATTTATTCGAGTTTGTGAAGACCTTATTTCCAGTTGCATATTGTTTATGCAGAAAACTCTTCGTGTTTATCTTCCCTACTCAAATATACATCATTTCCTTTAAAGCTAATTGACCTCAACAATACTGTTGTTATCACTTCTGTGTGGATGAAGTTTTCTTCTACTTTTCTCTTCATTGGACATTGGCAGCAATATCTTCAACTATTCATCATTGACTTTGTCAGTCAGTATTAACGGCAATAGTATGAATAGTGTGAAAATCTTCAAAGTAGTTATAGCATGATAACTACAGTTCAAAATGTTGCTGTATTACTGTTCTTTTCTTCTCTACTTTGCTTGAGTGAGTATCTGGAGTATAATTCCCTTCACGGGAGACAGATCATACATACCTAGTTACAGTTAGGTGGTCATTAAAAAGGAATGCCAATACGTGCACTTGACTTGTCCTCTTTAACCTCTGTGAAGTGTTTACATGAATGTGTTATTGAATTGCAAACTGTTAAACAGTGTGAAAGTCAGCTGAATGAATTGTCTGGAGAAAGAAGGAGGCTAACACGGAATAACAGCAGTATTACACAACAGTCATAGGTTTTAATTACTCTTACTAAATGTCATCAGATTTGGTAGCTTTATAAAAAGGTTTAAGCTGACCATTTATCATTCTTTTTTAACACCATCACCATCATATTTCTTAACTGCAATATACAAGCATTATTCTATTCATTTGATTGCTTGTTTGCTTATGATTTCTGACTGGTCGTTTGTTTCTTCATTGTTTTGTTTTTATCTCTGATCATCATATTTGTGTTGTCTAATAATGATAATAACATTGTCATTTTACTTGTCATGTTTTAGTAAATTCTTAAGTAATTAATATTACAGTTTCATGAATTTTTTTCATGCTTCCCCACTCCCCCCCTTTGCTTCAATAAATTCATCACTTTGACAATTCCTTCTCAAATATCTTTGTGTATGTTGTTTTAACTACTTAATTATTATTTGAGTAGCCTATATGACCAAGCGTATTAATTAGACGGCTGCATACGGCACATTAAACCTAATCGGTATTAGTTAACCTTGTGTTTATCTACATTGTTGCCAAGACAAACAGATGTAAGTGATTGGTTTAACCAGTTGAATTTCAACCTGGGGGTCATAAGTTTGAACACTGCTCCAACTACCAAGCTTTGGGGAGGCAGGCAGGCAGTATCACACACAATAGGCGTCTCAGTGCATACTGCACAACTGGGCATCTAGTTGCTGGGTGCAATTTTGTTGTTGTCAACTGACCAAATTAAAAACTAGTTTGATAAATTGTTTGGGTGAAATTAAAACACACTTTATAATTGTAAAGTTTGTCCTACGTTCATTCAGGATTGAATGGTTCTATCAAGAAGCTGATTTTTCAATGAGTGAATTCGATATTGGGTTTTATTCCCACTGGACAAATTATTGGCTTTCACTTGACGCATCATTCACATAGAAACTGTAATCGATGGCAGAAGATCATTGTTATGGGACTTGAACTTACTGCTAACTGAGAGCTGTTCACGTAGCATATCAGCAATCTTTAGGAGACTGATGGTTCTTCTCATGTTGAGACCTGCATCACTTACATTGATATTACTTCACTACACTGACTTCTTCATACTAAAGTTAGCTTTGTGTAGGGTTAGACTAACTCTACATACAGCATAATGTGTTACTGGAGAGCGGCAGTCAGTTTTTATGCTCTTTATTTATAATTTCCAATTACCATCATCATTAGGTTAAGTTGTATATCCTCCCAATGGACTCGTCTAGCTCTCGAAAGCAGCTTTTGCATTACCACTAGTATCCATGTTTAAATAGACCAAGATATCTTGAGACACACAAATCGTTTGACTGATCATAATCATGCTCTATGCATCTATCTGACTATCCATTTAGGATGTGATGTAACATTTATGACAGGGGTTCGACTCCCGTTCCACCTACTGAGGTTTGAGCAACCACATCTCACACACACATAACAAGTTTAGCTCATTGCCCACTGCATGAATTTGCTTGAGATTACCTAGTATGCTTCGACTTTTTTTCGTGTGTCAACCGATGTAAACATGCATTGACAATGAAGCCCCCCACCTTCCTGAAAAGAATAATAAAGAGTTATTACAATTGTATTCCTTGATACCTAATCATTCCCCTGCATCAAAACAACTAGTACTGTTCAGCCTCAGTAACTGTTAGTAGGATACAAGTGAAATCAGTGTGAATCGTTCCACAGTTGTCTTATTTGCCTTATTTCAATAAGTAAGCATTCCTAAACCTAATCTTATCGTGTTAGATTTGAATAACCTGGTCAACAAATAGAAAAAATATATAATTTTGTCCGAAATGTATCACAAACCCTAGTACATAGACATCTGAGGATAGTTCAGTGATGTTATCAAGTGTGGGGATGAAATATCCACAAGGAAACATCGAAGCTCAGTGAACCCTTAACTACCGGCATTCTCATCCTCAGATATAAATCCTTTACACTACACATAAATAACAATGCTGACAGCATATTTTATCGTATAGTTATCAGCATTTTGAGTTTAGACCAGTCTATCTACTGATCTAACTGAATAGAAATTCTAAATGTATTCTGTAACTTTGCAGTAGGCAGTTAGCCTATTGTGTGAGGGCTAAGAAAATTCACTACCTGACTATTCGAATCACAACACGTGGAGCAAGCCCTGAACTCATAATTCATTGGTTGAAAGTCAACCTCCCTGAATCAATGAACCACAGCTCCCCGGTCTTCGAATTGTGCCTCGATTTATTCTTTTATTATGTATCAGTGTATCATGATTAGCGTATGGCTAACTACCATTAGGAAGTCCCTAGTATCAAGGCATTCAATGAATACTTACAAGTGTTTTGTTAGATTTCAATTTTGTAGTTATGTGGAATTCATCTGTCCATCTAGGCTGTTGTTCAACACCAGTTGATTAGTGACTATCTTAACTTTCTCTTAAACATACACAGTACGTAAAAGTCATGACAGCATTTTATATTGTCGCAAGCTTTTGTATTATTTAGAATACCTTTTTTATAATCATCTATTTATACTAGGTAGTGATGGACAATCAATTAAAATAGTAGGTGACAGGAGGTCTGGAATTCGCAGCCTCCAGGTTACTTACTCAGTGCTCTACTAACAGAGCTAACCAAATCCTAATTTCACTTGAATCACCAAAAGGGTTTTGTCCACCTATCACGTAAATCTATTTTATTAACTTAGTCAACTGGTGGCCGCTTCATCAGCTTACTATGATGATTGTTTTTCCAAAAGAATTCGCCTGATAATATAATTATAACTGGGGGTTGGCGGTGGCGGAGATAGTTGTCAAAGGAGATCGTGAAGAAAAAACAGCTGAATAATGGAAGAGTAATTAAGCGTGTAAATAAACCTATTATATTTTGCCTAATTCTGATAAGCATTGATTCATCTCTATTGGTTGACTACACTCTGGTACAGTGAACTAAATATTCGTGCATACTTGGTTGATGAGGTTTGTTTAACTATGAAGAAATAATTGTCAGAGGTTCACATGAGTGTTGTCTAGACAGAAGTGATAGTTTATTGGTGGTAATGTTATCGAGTGAAATATTCCATCATGTAGCCCATCTTTAAAATATACATTGAAGTCAGTGATTGACTAAGATTTCTGTAACCCAATGAAATCTACAATAACTACCTCACTGAATCCTTTCATTCAGGGTATATCTGTACTGCATATATTAGGCTTATCAGTTTGATTATCTATGATAGCTATTGTTTGATAAACTTGTATTATTGATACTAGGGTAATGATTGAAGGTGAAATAAAAGCCTATACTGTGACAGGATCGAAGCAACAGCCTGGTCTTGTAACTCAGTTGGTAGAGCCGGTAGGTTACTGGTTTGGAACCATGCCGTCGGTCAGATTTGCATGTCTGTGACGGTTCAATTAACCAGTTTCATCTCTATTTGAAGTTATTTGTTAGGAGTAAATCTTCATTTCCATTTCATCTTTTGTTTTAATTACTTTCAGGTATGTTTTATAAGGTGAGGTAAATTTAAATCCATCTATTGCTGCTGATAGCGATGATAATACTAACAAAGCTATTTTCAGAAGAAGAAATCAAAATGAAAGACGTTCACTAGATGTTCAATCTTCAATATATTTATTATTCACGTTTACTTATTATCAATATAAAT